AGAATTTCTTTACATAGTTGACTAGTATGATTTACGAAATATACCTCTAAATAAAATCTGGCAGAGTAACATGCATATTTCCCACAAACTCTCCACCCCTTTATATCGTTCGAGCAGAGCAGATCTGTTAATTCTCAGGCAAAATATAACCTTGTGTCCCAGAATGTGTTGGGCCTAGACTAACTTATCATCGTCATTATGTTATTGGAGACGTTGAGCATGAGGCAACGATATACTCCTATTGGCCACATAATTGCAATTTTTTTAAAAAAAAATAGGGCTGCAATTTTGTTTGACCCCGGCCCATATCACGGTAACTAGCAGCCAGGGAAATCATAACGTCAGACAATTGGACGCTCTGATCGGCCTCATAACACTTATAATCTGGACTCTGGTGATCTCGCGGAATGATGGTTCTTGTCAACTGTCAAACCGAGTGCATGTTGTGATGGATAGCTGCTGCATATCAGTGTAGGCTCTGCTCGGGCAGATTTGAACCCTTCCAAGTTTTGCCAAATTTAGTTAATTCGAAGAAGCTTCCGGTTTGAATCTGAAAGAAAACTACATGAACATGTGAACTCACTCGGTTGCGTAAAGATTTTAGCTGATTTCATTGATGATATTCAAACATGGAGAAACGAGTAAAACGAAACGGGGCACAGACGGATCAGAAACCCATTTCTGCGCTAGTTTGAGAAACCATGGCTAGGTGTGGAGCCATAGGCGGAGCTAGCTAGGTGGAGATGTGGTCCATGGACCACACTAAAAATTAGTAAATGTTAAATTATAGTAGATGACCTCTCTAAAATCATGAAAATTGTATATGAATCACTCTATAATTTCGTTTTACATCTAAAATAGACCACCCTTCTCTAGATCCTAGTTACGCCACTGACAGCGAGCAATAGAAGTAACGGAGCAGCTGGCTGTATCGCCTATGCCTAGGCAAGGAAGCCGGCCGGCCGGCCGATAGGCGACGAGATTTGCTGGTAACAACAAGATGAAAACATAGCTTGGGGATTGCGATGGAATTTATAAACAAGCCAGGTCTCCTACATCGTCAGTCTCCTTGGGCCTCGGCGCCTCCGTTGTTCGCAGAGATAGATGCTTGGATTTATGCAGTAGAAAGCTAAGCTTTTGTATCTGCGTGCGTTTAACACGAAGCTACGGCAGTGCGCCGGTCGCCATCAACATTGATCGTCACGAATACCCTGTTGCTTTCCTGTCATCGTAAATTAAGCGTGTCTGCCCACATAGCCACCGTGCATTTTCCATATATATATGGCGGCATGGCGTGGCGATCCGAACCTGACAGCGTTTGGTTTCAGGGATGAGAAGGGATGGGATGGAGCGGTTCCATTCCTACCAGCGTTTGGTTGATGAACGAAGGGATGGAGCCGCTCTCATACATGGAATATTCGCTGAGATTCGGAGTGAGCCTGGTTCATAAACCCAGGGTCCCAAGAGACTCGCTTTTCAGCAAAAACAAGGCTCAGTAGATGGCGTGGTGACAACGCGCGCCTCTCGGACCGGCCCAGCTACTTAACGATCGGCCGGGAGAACGATCCGGTCTCCGACCGGAAGGCCGGGCCAAAGAGGGGACACAGCCCGACTCCGACCTCCTCTTCCGACCGGGGATATGCCGGACCTCCGCTCGTGATTCTTCTCCGACCAACACGGTCGGAGCCGACTGGGAACGACCAACCGGGGACGTCCGCTCGGAGAGGACCCAAGGATCAGGCGGAGCAGATAAGGTAAGACGTTTAAGTCAACCGCAATACCGAGGACTGTACCCTGCCATAACCTGCCCACCTGTAGGGCAGTGCCACCAGACCATACCAGACGGGTACTATGCAACCTTCCAGGTGTGTCAGAACCCAAACAGTGTTGTGGGCGTCGACATTTGCCTTACAGTATTGTAGGCGCCGACATTTACCATACCAGGCGAACACGGTAAAAACCTGCCAGACACATCTGGGCATGAACAGTATTGTGGGCGTCGACAATCGTCTCATACCCAATGGCGTGAGCAACAAGACTAGGTAGCACACGTACATTCTCTCTCTCTTTTCTCTCTAACTTGTAAGGCCATCCCCTTCACCTATAAAAAGGGATGCGCTCTCTCCCAATAGGGACGGTCATTCAGACTCTCTCTGGCTGGCTTCAGACAATCTGAGCATTCAAACAGCTCTACAGCTCTAAAACTCTAAAGCTACATAGAGCATACGCCCCAATACTTAGCGCACGTTAGAGCTTCCGTCACTCTCGGCTCTTCGGTTCAAAGTCCAACCGGACCTTTAGCATCCCTTCTTATTTCTACTCGTTTGTAACCCCACAGCAAACTTTGAGCACCTAAGCTCAGGAATAAAGTCACCGACCGACCAAAACTGGACATAGGGCCCGCTGCCTGAACCAGTATAAATCCTGTGTCATTGAGTGTTAGGTCACATCCGATCACAACGTACGGCAAAACTATAAATACTTACTTGTTGGTCACTTTTCGCACCGATAGAGCCTGTCCCAAAAAAATTGGCCGAACGAACTCGCTCCACTCGGACGGCGCTCACGCCGTCTCCCTCTTGTGCGTGCCTGAGGAGGAGGAGTGGACCGGGCGAGCTGGTGAGTGGAGCCGCAGCCATGGATGGGTGGAGGATCACTAGACCCGAGGCTGGGGCAAGCGTAGCCGCACGCGCCACGACAGGATTTGGGCGAGCAGAGACGGCCGGCAAGCGGAGATGGCCGGAGCAGTACGCCTCAATTGGATCTGGGCGAGCTTAGGGTGGTCGAAGATGGTCGGCGAGCGGAGATATATGGCCGGAGCGGCGTGGCCGGAGGCGGAGGCGGCCATGGGCGAGCGGTGGCGTGGACGGAGTCGCGGTCCTCGCGGAGATGGGTATCCGCGCGGGCGGCAGTTCGTTGTCGTGGGGTGGAGGAAGAAGACCGGATAGGAAATTTCAATGACATAGGGGACCCACATCTACAGTGACTTAACAGATCTATTATTACATTAATCTCTATGACTCTATCCCTCCATACTTTTAACCAAACAGAAGAATAGAACCATCCCATCCCTAAATTAGGGATAGAACCATTCTATTTTATCTCGCTCTCCAACCAAACGCACTCGAAGCCCCCCCCCCTCGACAGGTTGCATCGAGCCCTCATACTCCACCTCCGCGGTCACCGTACCTCCGCTTCATCATGGCCATCCACACCATCGTGGTGCCCGCCTGCCGACATGGGGTTCTTAGCGGACACGGACACGTCTGCGACAGCTCTTCTTCGCCTCCCTCGTCGACAAGCTGTTGGGACGCATCTACTATACACCGACACATCCAAACATGGTCCGGGCTCGACCTGCCGCCCAATGAGGTGTTGGATGGGGAGAGGGCGGCGCCAGCAACCTTGGATCCGAATTCGACGAGCTTCTCCGTCTAGCTGGATGGATACATAGGACGGAGGGTTGCGGGTGGCGGCACGATGGGAAGGAGTAGGACGACACCGTTTCTTTTCTCAACTTCTTGGACATGGAGATGGATGGTTGTAGGTGGTGGCACGGTGGGAGAGAGTAGGGTGGTGACGTAGGAGAGAGTCAGGACCAGAAAAAAAAAGTTGGGGCGGAAGAAAACTATATGCACCTTGAGAGACGGGACTGAGAAGGAAGATCTGAGAGTTTTATTAGAGTAAGTTTCTTTTGCCTCTAGGATAGTCCTAAAATATAAGAGTAGAAGTTCTATTTAGAATCTCTGTTGTTTTAGATACATCATCATATGCTTGCAGCATGCTTCTTTCTTACTGCAACGCCGCAGGCATTTGTAGCCATTAAGAATTTCAGTCTGACTCGTCCGTATTCGTTTTGCGTGCCAACAGAAAAATACAAATAAATTTCCACATAAACAAATCATGGCGGGCGGAGCCTGTATATATAGGAGCTGGGAAATCATGGCGGCCCACGCGTCTTGGAAAATACCTGAACAATGCTTGTTTGAGAAACCTAAGTGCCAGGCGAAAGGAGCAATGTTACATGCAGCACCAAGCCTTATATATATACACGCTGGGGCTGAGGCACCAAGGTCCATGTCAGCAATATTAATTCGTTTTATCTAAGCCTGGAGTTTTTGTCGTTGCTTGTAAGCAAACAAAATGGCGAACCAGCTACTAGTCGCCGTGTGCTGTTTGTAATTTCCCACCCTGTGCTCTCTCCCTCTGTCTCTCTCTATACTCCTAGTTAACGCTAACACACAGCTTTAGCATCGTCTCAAGAATCTGCTGGTCAAATGGAAGCGCGTATCTGGTATGCCATTACTGTCATGGGCATCGCAGTGGCTGCGTGTATGTGGTTTGGAGACAGTACGGGGGCGTTTCCGACCACAATTTTCGTCATATTAATGGCCATTTCCTACTACATGTCGGTTACTGCCATATATGTTGAGGTTAGTAGCGCCATCTAATTCCACGCGTCAACTACTATTCAGATGAGCACAGATTCAAAGAATACATACAGTGATGCTACTATACGTATAATGTAATATAGCCCGAATAAAAGGATTGTGTGTCCTGGGATAAACAGGATCGGAGTGTACCAGCTGGGCTTGCGAGTTTGCAACTTTTTTTTTTGTGAGTAATTGCGAGTTTGCACTTATTCTGTAATGAACTATATCATATATGTTGTGTGATGACAGATGTGATGAGAGTTTATTACCATTACCTTTAGTCACCGCTATGCACTTATTTTCTACTGCTTGTTATTATGTTTAATCCCTGCCCTGTGCAATGTGTATGTTTAATCCCCTGTTTATTCCCAAAAAAAAACCTGCTAGTTGTAACTTGTATACAAAGCCCGTTTGCTGGTGGCCCGGATTTGCATCAAGCCCGCAATGGGCCGAAGAACGGGCACAGGCATTACTGGGCTAGCCCAACGACGAAACGACGTGGGCCCGTCATCACTCGTCACATCTATCAGACACTCCGCACCCTTGCAGAGGCAAAGCGTCGAACACATGGCGTGCGCCATCCTCCGCCGCGCGCGCTCTCTCACCGCCGCCGTCGCCCACGCGACCCCCCGAGTTGCTGCCGCCTTCGCTTCCGCTTCCGCTTCCACTTCCTCCTCATCCTCCGTCGTCGCGCCTCTGCGCTCCCCACTAGATGACCGCCTTCTCCGCCTCCTCCGCTCCGAGATCACCTACCTCGCGGAGCGCCGCCCTCCCTACCCGGTAAGGCAGCAATCCCCTCCCTCCGCCTTCCCCGCGCATGATTGACGCCTCACGTTCTCAGCAAGGCCCTCACGGCTTCCTCCTCTTCGTGCAGCCGCCGAGTAGCTTCAAGTCGTTTGCCGTGGAGGACCGCCCGGGGGAGCAGTGGGTGCGCCTCCGGGCCGCGCGCACCAGCGCGGGAGCCGGAGCCGAGGAGGTAAAGGTCGAGGCCACCATGTTCGACGGCGCCGCGGAGCCTGTCCCCGACGACGCGCCCCTCTTCCGCCGCGTCGAGTCGCTCGAGCGCGGGCCCCGCCTCCACCTCAGCCTCATCGTCGAGGTCACCCGGGGCGAGCGCGTCCTCGGCTTCATCTGCTCCACCTGGCCCGACGACCTCGCCGTCCGCCACGTGCTCACCCTCAAGGCTGGCGGCAGCGGCGGTGGTGGTCGTGGTGGGCGCGATTTCGAGTATGGATTACTGTGTGGTGCAGTGAGCTGTCTGTGTCCAGCAGTTTGTTCGTTCGTTTCCTGAGGTTTGTGTGATTTGGTTCGCAGGAAACTGGGGGCTGAGGAGAGGGAAGCGGTGACGAAGTTCTTGAAGGAGAGGGAGGTGGACGACGAGCTCGCCGGATTCTTACACGACTACATGGCAAACAAGGAGAAGATGGAGCTGCTCCGGTGGTTGAAGACTATCGAATCATTCCTTAACAAGTGGGATAAGAACGCACACAGCAGGTAATATGGGTGATGAATATGTCTCCTTGATTGTAGGTAAATTTAGTCCGAGTCGTCGTAGAAATGAGTTCAAGTTAAAGGCACATTGTTGGAAAAAGGTCGAAGTATAATTACCCGTGTCCACGGTCACAAGCCCTGAATGTTGAGGGGTGGGAAAAACAAACAATCCATCCATTAGGTAAGGAATCATTTCAAAATTCATAGTACTTTGGATATTCCTACGTAGGGGTGTCTGGATTCAGCGATTAAAATTTAGGATGTGTTATGTGAGGGTATTGTATGGGATGTTCGGATACTAATAAAAAAACAAATTATAGAATCCGTCGGTACTCTACGAGACGAATTTATTAAGCCTAATTAATCTGTCATTAACATATGTTTAGCGTAGCACTACATTGTCAAATCATGGACTAATTAGGCTTAAAAGATTCATCTCGCAAATTAGTCGCAAGCTGTGCAATTAGTTTCATAATTAGTCTATATTTAATACTCTATGCATGTGTCCAAACATCTGATGGGACAATGACTAAAGTTTAGAAGGAGAAACCAAACACCCTCTTAGTCTGGGTGGGGAAATGATGATGATGAGCTATCAGCTGTTTGGCAGTCACAAGAAATGTTGATATTTTGCTTCGTTTCCATGTTTTGTTGAATAATTGATCTAAGAGAGAAATGAAAATGAAAGTGCAAGTACCTTTATTGATAAAATTTATACCTACAGTCAGCTCCTGTTCTGTAAATTCAAGCTTGCTTTTGGGTTTTAACCTCTAGTGTGTGTAGTTTAGTTTCTGAAAGAAAACGGATTACATGTGGTCCAACAATACTGTCAAATGATATACAGCCATTTGCCGATGGCCTACCTGTGGTAATTTTCAGTAGGTTACTGCTGTTAAATTGTTGTAGCCAACTTGTGCCAACCCCAAAGTTTAAGAAGGCGCTTTCTGCTTTGAACTGACCCATAGCCTAGCGCCTAGGCTAGCCTAGCCTAGGCCAACCTAGACGTTTCTAGGCGTTTTGCCAATTTAGCACACAACATATATATATTATATATATAGTAGAAAATAGTAAATAAATTAGTTAAATAGAAGCATAGAGTAGCTGAATACAATATATAAAAGAGAGGGCAGTAGACATATCTTAGTAGCTTACTGGCTTAGTCTCAATAATCAATAGACAGTTTGTTTCTAGTTCCTACAGCAAGGATTGACAACTTGTACATACTCAATAGACAGCAAGCAGTTCATAAAAAAAAATAGCAAGTTGACACTTATCTGAATGATTTCAACCATCTCCCATCCATGAACAGACCATATCAGTAGCTAGTAATTACAAATTTTAAAGCACGAACAAGTGAATAGGACAGCAATACAAGTGCACAACACAATTCATAAATAAAGGTCTTGTTTAGAGACCACATAGTTCTCACAAAAGAAAAAAAACACAGTCACACAGCAGCAGCTCATAAGTTTTAGACATACATGAATACATCATAAAAGATAAACCATGACATGATAAAAAGGTCCCACTATCATATCATCTTTCTTCTTCAATAGGGTTCCACATAATCATCCTCATCTTCATCAAACGGTTCTTCTTCGGAGTCAAATTCTTCTCTTTCATAAAGCTGTCTCACTCTTGTACTTCTACACAGCTTAAGTTGTTCTTCTGCTCCCACTGCATCTCCAATAACAGACCAAGGTATCCCTATACCTTTTATCTCATCTTCCTCGTCTCTATAGACAACTAATGCACAATCATCTCCATTCTCATGCAGAAAACCTTGAGCTTCAATTGTATCATTAGACAAGAGAACATCCCTGATCTTCTTTGACTTAATCTTTTCATTCTTATTAATCAGCTTGGAGTTGAATTGAATATAGACCAATTTATTCAGGCGGACTATAGTAAGCCTATTTCTCTTTTTAGTGTGTACCTATAAATTTAAAATAAGAGCATTTTTAGGTCTGCAATTTAATTGTAATGCTGCTGCAATTTTCAGGTAGACGGGTACTAACCTCTTCAAACCCGCTCCAATTTCTTTCACAATCAGAAGAGCTTGATGTCAAAGATAGGATCCTTGTAGCCATCTTCTGTAAAGCTGGTGTTTTAGTTCCATACAGCCGTCACCATGATGCTGAAATAAATGAAAAACACCTCTATTGGTTAGTAGCCATTTATTGTTAGATGAAAACAGCAAACAACCATGTTGTAATCAAATTTATTGTAATAACAAGTAACTCTATCTGGGTTGTAATCAAAGTTTTCAAAAGTCCTTGCAAGCTTCTTGTTAAATGGTCCTTCTCTATTCCGAAACTTTTTCAGTTCAATGTTGGTAGCCTGATCTTGCTTATCCTCATCATGATAATAAAAAGTCTCCACACAACTGATAAATCCTTCTGTTATTGTGGGCTCATCAAAGATTGATGGGTTACTATAACTATAGTGTGAATTCAACAAATAAGCTGTCAAATGCAATAGAGAATCAAGTCTTCCTTTCATCTTCTTGTCAATAACAGTAATTACCTCCTTGAACCGGGACTCATTATTGTCAAAGACCTCTTTGATCTCTCTTTTCTTTTAGTAGTTCTCCATAAACAAAACCCATGGATGGCTTCATGTCCCCATCAACCAAACGGAGAACCCATTCTTCAGCTCGTGCACATATTCATTATGCTTCTCCTCTTCCTAACTGACCAAACATCAGTCATAATAAATCACCTATTCTTCAGCTTCTCGGCTTCATGTTCTTGTAGCAAACTCTTGGTTCTTGTATATTCTTCTTCCAGCAATCTCTCTCGCAGATCATATTGAGTTGGAGGTTCAAGTCCAGCCCCAAATTGTCCAATTGCTTCAACCATTTGTTTGAACTCATCATTGTCACATGCATTGAATGGTATTGCTGCCAATGTTACAAAAAAAGGTTAATTAGTGTTCAGCACAGCCATAATAGCATCTAATGAATTCTGAAATATAAATACAGAATAGGAACTTACCATGTGTATAGACCCATCTTGCAATATATTTATGCACCTCATGTGTTCTTTCTTTCCAAAGCTCCTTGTTCAGTTTCTGTTGAGTGAAAGATTCAGATTTGGTTGCTTTAGGATCAATAGCACGTGTCCATTTGTCAATGGATCCTAATTTGTGAGGCTCTGAACTTCCAATACAAGTGACTTCCTCTGACTCTCCACCTCCAACCCGAGAAACATTCACTTCCTCTCTAAGTTCTAGCTCACGAACAGTCTTCTCCTCCCTCTTCCTTTTTGCATCATTTAGCGCTTTCTTGCACTTCTCTTTAGCCTCTAGAGCCTTCGGTGTTCTGGCCTTGCATTTCGTCAAAATTGTTTCCTTCATGGGCCACATGTTGCTTCAACCGATAAATCCCTCCTTGCATCATCTTATCACAGAGTTTGCACTTCACCTTGTCCTTGTTGTTAGCATCAACAAGAACCCCATATTCCAATCCCACATCATCCGAATTCCTTCTCAGGAGATTCGCTCCATCATTGTTCGCTCCCTCAGTTTCAGGTGCAACTTCTGTTGTCGACATCCTACATTCATATTTCAGTGAGCATACATTCAGGTTCAGTGACATCAATATTACCAAATGACAGCAGGCATTCAGTATGCAATAGCCTATACATACATTCAGATTTCAGTGAGTTCAGTGAACATTCAGGCAATACATATATGTAGCAAATCAGCTATAACAATTAGTGACATCCTACATTCAGGCATTCAGAGAAGGCATTCAGAGTAACATTCAGGCATTCATGCATTCAGATTAGGCATTCAGAGTAGGCAGACATTCAGATTCAGAGCACAGATCAGGCTCTCTCTAACATTTAGGCATTCAGAGTAGTCATTCAGAGCATTCAGACATCCAGAGTATTCAGCTTCAGAGCAGGGGAGAGGGGGGCGGGGAGCAGGGGAGGGGACTGACCTTGGGGCTGCCGCTTAGGGAGGACTAGAGGACACCGTCGGGGAGGGATGCGCCTGCGGGAGGGGTGCGCCGACGGGAAGACGAGACCGGTGGGGAGGAGCTTCTAGGCGGGGAGCAGTGTGACCGGCGGGGAGGCGCTTCCAGGCGGGGATGAGCTTAGGGATGGGCCACGGGGAGGAGCTTCCAGAAGGGGAAGAGCGCAGCCTGCGGATCCACCTGCCCGGCGCCAACACGGAGGAGCGCGACCGTTGGGAGCAGCTTCCCGGAGGGGTCGCAGCGTCGCAGGCGGAGGCGGGTGAGCGGCAGCGGCCATCTGAGAGCGGGAGAAGCACGAAACAGGCAGGCGCGCGTCCTTTTCCCCTTCTCCCTCTTATCCTTCCCGCACGAGGCTTCTTTTCCCGTGCCCGAAGCCAGCTGCGCGCGCGCTTCCGCGGGGGCGGAAAATTTCGCGCGCTCGCCCGAGGCGTCCGCCTCCACGCCACCTAGAGCGTCTGCGCGCCACCAAATCGCCGCCGAGGCGCTGCACCCGCCTAGGGGTCCGCCTACCCCCGTAGGCCAGGCGAAGCCCTTCGCCTCCAGATTAGTCGTGCCTAGGCGCGCCTAAGACGTCGCCTTTTCGAACTTTGGCCAACCCACAACCATAAGCCCACAAATAAGTTTTCTATTACTATTCTGTATCCACAATAAGCCATACTAATCATTATTGGCGCCCCGAAATCTCTGAACCCTCTCTCAACTTGCAGACACACTGCCGATGTAAGCACGGTTACTCCCTGGACTGGGAATGAATAGGCTCCAAGGACCGGTGATGGTCTCCTGCAGTCCATCTTGACTATTGTGTGCTGAAGAAGTGTTTTTTTTATCAGTTTAGATGGCTCAGCGCTCTTGGAAATTGATGATCTGGATATCTTACTGTATTATCATTTGTTTGTGATAAGATTGTCCTCTACACTCAACAGTGTATCTGTTAAAATCTCTCCCATCTGATTTTTTTTCAATGCTAAATCTGTTCATTTTGAATTTCCAATGAGTTACTACGTGCGTGCTAGAGTAATCTGCTCTTCTAAACTCTGACAGTCCAATGTGAAAGGGGCTGCAACGGTTGGATTAAAGCGGGGCGACGGCTCAGAAGGGAACCTGCCACTGCCAGTCTGCCAGTGCCAGCCTGCCAGGTAGAGAGGGGGCTTATGAACTCACTGACTAGCGGGGCCCACTCGCAGATTCAGTCCTCCCCTCAACGGCTAGTTCCACCCCCGCAGCCGTTGGGACAAAAGCCAAACAAAACCAGAGGAGCTCGCTCACCAAATCACACCACTCTCTCCAAGAACCATCACTCTCTGAGACTCTGACGCTCCCTTGCTGAGCTTCTCGAGAGATCGCCAAAGAAGCAGCGCCGGCACTCCGGCAGCAAGCTCTGCGGCAATGGGGTACACGTACACGCCGACGTACTACTCGGGCCTGCAGGACACCATCGCGTCGCTCTGCAAGTCCATCCTGCCCTCCTTCCGCGTGGGCCGGCGGCTCACGGCCGACCAGGCCGCGGCGCGGCGCCACGCCGAGCAGCTCAAGTGGCAGCAGGAGTCCTTCCATCGCATCCTCCACCTCGCCGCGCTCCACCGCGAGGGCATCGTCCCGGCCTCCGACGTCGCCGCCTTCCGCGGCAACATGCTCGCGGCGCTCGTCGCGCCGCCGCAGCACCCTGAGCAGCCCGCGGTGCTCCGGGACAAGCTCCTCTTCCTCCAGGAGCTCCTCTACGCCAAGTGCGTCTCCGCGTCGGAGTACAACGCGTCCAAGGCACCCCTCGTGCAGCGGCTCGCCGCGTTCGGCGTCGTCGTCGACTGCCCCGACGCCGAGGTCTCGGGCGAGGAGTGGTCGGAGATCGACCTCCGTGACCCGCCTCCCCCCGTCACTGCGGCGGCCTCCGACAAGCCGAAGCACAAGGCCTTCATCACGCCGTGGAAGAGCAGATCCAAGAAGGACCAGGACGTGAACAGCAGCGCATCAAGGCCACCGCTGGCCCCGGTGGACGCCAACAACGCGTCAGTCCTCATGGCCGAGAGCTCGCCGTCGGAAGCGGTGCTCTCCGGGAAGGCCGAGAAGGGGAAGAGGAGGCATCTGGCGGGGATGTTCCACAGCGGTGGCAATGGCACCGAGAACAAGGAGCCTGCGGGGGATGAAGGGGTCGACGAGAAAGAGACGGTGAAAGGTAAGAAGAAAAGCTCGTGGGGGTTCGATGGCATCAAGAAGTGGAAGAAAGCTGGCGCCTGGAACAGTGGCGAGGCGGCAGCCACCGGTGAGCAGCCGCAGCGTGCTCCTCCGCGCTCATCCTACAGCGAGTGCCAGCTGGAGGCGAGCCCCATGGCAGCTGCCTCTGGCCCGGATGCCAAGAGGGCCAAGACGAGGCTGCACTCGAACACGGATGATGACTCTGCTTCCGAGCTGCTGCGTGATAAGGTAATGTGCATTGGTGACTCTCTCATCCTGTATAAGTTTGTTTCAAGAGGTAGCAGTGATGAAGTTACAATATGCATCTGGAATCACTGAAGGTTCTGGTGGAGAACACAAAGAAAGAGCTCTCAAGGATTCAGGCTGAGCTATCATCTACAAATCGGAACTTGAACTTCTCGTAAGTTGTAGTTCACTATGTTCTTTGTCAATGTAATTTCTTTCGATCTTCTGTTGCTCAAAGATGGAGTCTTGGATTTTGTAGGAATCAGCAGATCGATGCCATCTCAACAAAGCTTCCGGTGGACAAGTCTGACCTCAAGCCCTTCTTCCCAAAGTAGATCACTGGACCATACATCATTCAGATTAGGCACATGATTTCTCATAACTGAGATGGTGACATTTTTTTTGGCAGGGCATGGTGTGATCAGCACGGGGATGGCGTGATCACCGCCGCTAAGAAAGAGTTCAAGGAGCACGTGGAAGAGATGGAGAAGCAGAGGGACATCACCTTTGAGGACATCGACCTTGATGACAACTTCAACCCCTGGGCCTTCTCTCAGCATCAGTCGGACTCAGCGATGAAAGGGAAGAAAGTCAATGAAAGCCTCACCAGCAGTTTCACAAACCCCTTCTACAACGAGAAGAACCCGTTCTTGAACACAAACTACAACTGATACAATCATACAAGTGAATGATGTTGGACTCTTTTGCGTTGGGATGTATCAGTTCGTTTATATTTTCATTACTGGTATAATGTTAGTTTTTCCCTTCTTTCCCGGTGACCTACCCGACATGGAACTTTAGTGTCACATGGAAGCCTATACGGTCAACATACAGTTGATAATTCATTTGACTTCACAAAAGATAAACTGGCAGTTCTAGATACAAATTCCTACAGTTTATATACAGTAGACATGTTACGCCACAAGATGGCACACCGGAAACTAATTGAGGTACCGCCTGCAGTATCTTGATCTACAAAAGCAAGGGATCCTCTGGCCTTCATCTTCCCGGTTAAAGTGGTAATCGTACGTAATTTCCTCCCCTGGGTTTATGTGCCGTTCTGCAAAGAACATTACCTGGATGAACATAGAAATAACAAGTGAGAACCCTGTACCTTAACATATATTCCCTCCGGCCTCTGCTCCAAATTGTAGTTCACTTTGGCTTTCTCAAACTTCTCTAACTTTAACCATGTTTTTAGAAGAATAATATATTAATATCTACAAGTTCAAATAAATTCTCTATCGAAATAAAGCGTGAAGAATCTAATGAAACAAATTTGATGTTCTAGATGTTAATAGGTTCTTTTACAAACCTAATCAAAATTAAAGAAGTTTGACTTAGGACAAAAAAACAAAGTGAATTACTCAGTCCCAAATTAAATCAACTTCTAGAGCTATCCTAAGTATTTTCAGTTTGACCAAATTTATAGAAAAGAACAAGGTGATTCTACGAATTTATATTTATTTTGGGATGGAGGGGGTACAATTTGAGTCAGAGGTAGGAGATATTTAGGTTTCTAACGAGGCTGATGCAAGGCATTTAGACTAAAATTTACAATGCAGAAGCTAAATTTTTATAAGGAAAACAAACATGCATAGGCAAAAGGAGTACCTTCTTTTCATTCCTGACTGAGATTATTTTCGCAACGCAGTTTGGCTGATCCAACAAAGATTGAACGAATTGAATGAATATAAAAGCATACATTAGAATAATAAGCAGTAACTGGATGAAGGCCCTGTTTGGAACACAGGTTCCATGCACACTAGAATCTCAAAAGAAGTCTCATGTTCCAAGGGCGGGTCTAAAGAATGTTCAAGCACAAGTTATTTACCTGGCATGAATGATTGACGAATCTTGCAATCCCACCTTTGCGGGTGGCATCAATAATATGCTCCCTGTCAATCTTAAAGAAATAACATGCACTCTTATATTGTTGCCGTTTCCCAGACTGGTATTCGATCTCTCTTTTGTCAGCAACCCGTTGCCCAACAATTTCACCCACATACTCTACAACCTGAAATATTTTTATGCAAGGCCTGAGAATGGTTTTATTTGCTAAAGGAAAAGGTCCAAATTACTCCCTTGAAGTTTGGCCAAGTCTGGATAACCCCCGAAACTAATATTTGGTCCGATTTACTACCCTCAACCATTTCAATTGGTCCAATTTGCCCCTTAACAAGATTTGTCTTTTTTTTTGTTTCTCTACAGAGAAGTTGAGTTTTAATTTCAGATTTTGTGAAGTGATAATGCATGTCATGATTTATTTATTTTTTAAATACATTATAAAATTTTCAGTGTTATGTTTGATACAATTTTGTATTTCTAGTATGAATTTATTATTAGATGTCCTAACCGGTCAAAATAATTATAAATAATATGATGTATATTTTTAACATAAATTATGGTGTTGGCTATAACCTCACAGATTGTGAATTTTTTTTAAAAAAAAAAACTTGAATGTGGAGAAACAGAAACAAAAAAAAAATCTTGTTAAGGGGTAAATTGGAACAAATGAAATAGTTGAGGGGACTAAACCAAATGAAAGGCTAGTTTTGGGGGTTATCTGGACATATGCCAAACTTGAGGGGTAGTAATTTGACTTTTTACTAAATTCCCATATCAGTTGAATTACCATAGAGCCGCGTGGAATAAAGACTGATGTGTATAGACCAAGTCCATGTATGCCAGATTTGTACACAACCAAATGCTTCCACCCTTTTAACTGCTTGTAATGGATGTACTCCTTCTGAAATGGAAAAATGACATGCATGGAACATTTAGTGCTTTGTTCCAACAGTTGATTCTGTAATATTTCTCTCCATTCAAAAATGTAGGATGATTTAGTTTTGTCCTTTTTGAACCAGGAAAAACAGCAGGGGAGGCTCCCACTGTTAAATTTTATTAAGACACAAAAATAACCACAGTACAACACAGAAAAGAATCCTCCAGCTAAGCCTAAGCGAGGCAGGAGCAGAGCTTGTTTAAGACCAAGTTGTCCCATCCCCCGCCCCCCTGTTCATTTGGTCAAGCTCCACCACTTGTCCTAAGTCATACTTCTCTAACTTTGACCAACTTTATGGAAAAATATATTAACATCTAAATTACCAAATAAATGCATTATCAAGACATATTTCATGATGGATTTAATGAAACCAATTTGATGGTGTAGAGCACGCGCATTTTTCTACAAACTTGGTCAAAGAGAAGTTTGACTTAGTACGAAACTAAAACATCTTACACTTTGGAACTGAGGGAGTATGCTGCAAGCTATGATGTATCACTACAGTATATATACGAAGCTACACACTACAATGAAAGATAACTGAAAGAAAATACCTGTCCTGTTCCACAAGGCTTTGAACCATTTATGCGTACCCAAGCATTTATCTGTTCTTGGGAAACACTGAACTCACCACTGTACTCTTCATATTTCTTATGGCTACTATCAGAAAAGCCTTCTCCCTTTCGGCCTTTAAAACCCTGTTTCAAATAACACATAGCTATACAGTCATACAGATATTGATTTACAGACAATAGAAATGTTCAAAAAGTAATACCTCTGTACGTGCACATGTCCAATTGTTGCTTCTCAAGTATTCTTTCTTAGGATTAACGTGACTAGAAAAATCAATGGCATGATCCATGCATCGCCCATAAAAGCCAACATTTTCATTGTGCTCACCTTCAGGCTCACTTTGCAGCAAACCCTGTTGAGACATAACAAGCAAACATGGACATGGAAAATATAAGCTCCACGAATGTAATATTAGATGCAACCATTGAGTCACAGACATTTTCTCTCTTTTTTCTGCGAGCATGAAATTGAAGATCTGAAAAATTACAAAAGGACCAACTATGATTTTACAACCAAACAAAGAAAAACAGAATGCTGAGAAAAAGAAACAGGAACCTTTTTGTTACTATTGGAAAGCACATGACTTGTATCATCCTAAAGAATCATGCTGCATGGAAACTATGTCCAACAAAACACCCCCTTATTCCTTGCATTGCTTGAAGAACTTGCACAGAATTCAGGCATTCTGTGTGTCATTCCGGGTTTACATAATATAGAATATAAAAATAATAAGTTGTAACCAAAGTTTCAAACCATTTCCTATGAGTGTGTTAGTAAGTAAAGGTAAGGGACACTTTTAGCAAAAAGAAAAAAAAGGCATATGCACAGATATCATACCCTCTGATGTGCACACCAAGCATGAAAGAGTACCAAACAATTTACATCTCGGCACTTGATAAATGAGCCCCCAGTTCTGTCACATATTGAACATGCCTGTTGAAAAAAGAATTGCAACAGTCAAGGTAAAGAAAAAGTTCATTAAGGGCCTGTCTGGATCCCATGAATTGAAACCAATATCTTGAAAGTGCTTCTCATTTTATTATCAGATTATTTTCCAATTCCTGGGAACCAAACATGGCCTAAGGGTAATTCCATGGTCAGAATATGCATGTATGGAACTCACAGTATTTCTCTTGGCAGGTGAAGCACCTGAAACATCAAAAGCGCTCATTGTGGTGGCATTTGGGCATTTTGTGCCAGGTGTCCACAGCCCACAGACCATGTGAACCCACTGCATTGTTCGTGGTCCAAGCAAACTCGAATTGTGTTTAACAGAGGTCCAGGAATTGCTGGTGATGTTCTCAGCATTCATAATGCTATCCCCATGTGCACTGTCTACTGCATTTCGCAAGCCTGTTGCAGACAAAATGTTCAAAGCTTGTTGATTTGGAAGTACAAAATAAGTTATGTTCAACAACTTCCCCATGTAAATACTTACTTGTACACTCACTGCTTGCATTTCCTAAGGAATCAACATAATTTTCTGGTCTTTCTGTAGTCATCAAACCTTTGAGCAAACTTTTCAGAATGTTCTTGGTTTTCAGTGCCCTTGTCATAGCTCCACCTCCATAACCACACAGCACACAGACCTGGAAACAGATGCAATGAGAGACTGGTAGGCTGAACAAACTTCTTTTTTCTCGAACACGCAGGAGAGCTGCGTATCATTTCATTAAAAGGAGAAGAAACTGAACAAACTTCTTGTTCCCTAGAAACAATTATTTATTCTCTATGTGATGGATTTTAGGAAAACCAAAGGAAGGCTGTATCATGAGGGCCAGGGTCCGAGTAAAAAAGGTAGTAACATGAACAAATGTTTTCCCTAAGGCAAGACAGTACAGGGAATGGCCTACCGCCTACCACTAGAAAATGCTTGCAAAGTTTCAGTTAAGGTGGTTGGGTCCACAGTTCAGATCAGTAAGGCACAGATGCACTTAAACAGAACCAAAGTTGATATAAAATAAACTTTGTGCTTCTTTAATATATAATATGCAGCTCTCCTGCATGTTCAAGAAAAAAAACTTTTGGCCATGGAGTAGCGAATAAGATGCAGCAGCCACTTATATTTAAAAAAAAATCACTGCATCTGTTAGAGTACGTCAGGGGCCTATTGGGCCTGGGTTGGCTGTATAGCCCATTAGTGTTAGAGTTAATTAGAGATAAGGGTCGCTTACTTAAGGGTCAAGTAAGCCTTGCTTGGGAGTCAAGTAAACCTCTCTATATAAGGAGAGGAGATGTATCGATCTAATCAAGCAAGAATTAAGAAGGAAATCCCTTCCCTCTTGCTCGGCCGTGGGCCTCCCTCGCAGCCCTAGCCGTCACAACTATGGTCATAAACAGTACCCGCTTCACTGTAGCGCGGCGGGTACTGTAACCCAACCCTCGCCGCCTCTCCCTCAACTCTCTCCCTCTCAATCCTAGCAGCCACATAACAGCATCCATGTAGACAGCTCATTTTCCCTTTCCTGAAATCAAATCTGTGGATCAAGCAGATTGGAGATTTACTGATATACTTCCTCCATCCCAAATTATAAGACGTTTTAGCATTTCTATATTCATAGCTTTTATTATGTATGTAGACATAATATATCTAGGTGTGTAGCAAAAGTTATGAATCTAGAAAAGCCAAAGCGTCTTATAATTTGAAATGGAGGAAGTTTTATAAAGAAACTTGCCACTTTTGTAAAGTAACAACAGCTAGAAATATTGTTGGTACTGGTGAAACAACAACAACAACAACAAAAAGCCTTTAAGTCCCAAACAAGTTGGGGTAGGCTAGAGTTGAAACCCAACAGAAGCAATCAAGGTTCAGGCACGTGAATAGCAGTTTTCCAAGCACTTCTATCTAAGGCTAAGTCTTTGGGTATATTCCATCCTTTCAAGTCTCCTTTTATTGCCTCTATCCAAGTCAACTTCGGTCTTCCTCTGTCTCTCTTCACGTTACTATCCTGACTTAGGATTCCACTACGCACCGGTGCCTCTGGAGGTCTTCGTTGGACATGTCCAAACCATCTCAACCGATGTTGGACAAGCTTTTCTTCAATTGGTGCTACCCCTAATCTATCACGTATATCATCGTTCCGAACTCGATCCCTTCTTGTATGACCGCAAATCCAACGCAACATACGTATTTCCGCGACACTTATCTGTTGAACATGTCGTCTCTTCGTAGGCCAACATTCTGCCCCATACAACATAGCCGGTCTAATCGCCGTCCTATCCGTCCTATAAAACTTGCCTTTTAGCTTTTATGGTACCCTTTTGTCACATAGGACACCAGATGCTTGGCGCCACTTCATCCACCTTGCTTTGATTCTATGGCTAACATCTTCATCAATATCCCCGTCTCTCTGTAGCATTGATCCTAAATATCGAAAGGTATCCTTCCTAGGCACTACTTGACCTTCCAAACTAATATCTTCCTCCTCCCGAGTAGTAGTGGCGAAGTCACATCTCATATACTCAGTTTTAGTTCTACTGAGTCTAAAACATTTGGACTCCAAAGTCTCCCGCCATAACTCCAGTTTCTGATTCACTCTGTCCGACTTTCATCAACTAGCACTACATCGTCCGCTGTATGTCCCTTATGACCTCATCCATCACTAAGGCAAATAGATAAGGGCTCAAAACTGACCCTTGATGTAGTCCTATCCTAATCGGGAAGTCATCCGTGTTTCCATCACTTGTTCGAACACTAGTCACAACATTGTTGTACATGTCCTTAATGAGCCCGGCGTACTTCGTTGGGACTTTATGTTTGTCCAAAGCCCACCACATAACATTCCTTGGTATTTTATCAGCCTTCTCCAAGTCGATAAAAACAATGTGTAGGTCCTTCTTCTTCTCCCTATACCGCTCCATAACTTGTCTTATTAAGAAAATGGCTTCCATTGGTACTGGTGAAAGAAATGACTAATTCCCTAATTATATTCTTTCTAGGTATCATATTCCCGAGTTCCAGTGTCAAAAAATTATTGTCAGTAAGCACCATATCTAGGTCCATTTGCAGGAAGAACCATCAAACGATTTTTGTTTTTCAGCAGCGTGCTGAGCTCATAAATCATTGTGACATGCCATTTCCTTGGTTTTATTTCCTAAGGACAGCAAGAATGGGGAATATAGTTTTTTTAGGTAGTATATACTCAAAGCAAAGAAATCAATGTGCATAATTATGCTAAATAAATCACCACAAGGATGCATTCACTAATTTTGCTTACTGTGTTCATGGTATTAGTCTTGCAGGGTCTGCAAAACCATTGACCTCTAGGAACTTTTAGAACACCATAGCAGGCTTGGTGCACCTACACAAAATACAGGACTCTATAAATATGCAGTAATACTAGGGCACAGGTACAGAGTAGTATGAAATACTTTGATATAGCACTTGCTGCACTCTATCAATCGATTGCAAGGCTCCAGGTCTGAGATCACACAAACACAGCATGGAGCATCTGAGCTGAGCCTTCCACTGTATCTGTACAAGATATTAAGCAGAATTTGTCAGATCAGTTAGTAATGAAAGAAATTAGATAAACATAGGGCGTGCTCCCAAGACCGTATCCTTTCTTGGAAAATAAATCCATAAGATGCATATAATGGAATCACAACCTCCTAGCATTCACTTCCTGGGCTAGCGCAGCATTGTCTTTGTCACTGCCAGGATAGCATGCTGATTTGCTTCCGAATTTCTTATGCCTCCTAATCCTAGTAAGAGATACACTTGTTCTTCGATTCTTAGTCCCTGTACATGGTTGGAATACTAGGTTAGTAAAATAAAAGTGTCGTTTATTAGTGCATCCTGATACAATTTTTATGTACAAAATACATCTGTTGCACATGTGAATAGTTAATACATAATCTGGGGTATGTATTTTTTCAGTGAAAACAAAAGAACAGAAGTTATGTGGCATAGAATCAATTCTTGGTTGTGTTATGCTGTTTTAAGGAAAAAAATGGGTTTCTTACCAGTTCCGTAAGTTGTTGAAAAAATTAATTTAACTGTTTACTACATGGTGAACCACAATCAATCTTTTTTTCCTGAAATGACTTCAAAGTTTCTAAACATACTAACAAGGGCTAACTACAGGGCATATAGAGAAACATCTTCCATCTTATGGAACATAATCGGTTTCACTAATATACAGCCAAGCATACTATGGTACTTTTCTCGTATCATTACTTGATGGTGATATTGACAGGCGATTTGTTTCCACATCTGTTAGACCAAGAGAGTCATCTTCTCCAATAACTGAAATGAGATGCCTTTTCATATTTCTAGTATTCTAAGAGAAAATCAAAGCAAGCTATATGCTCAAACTAGTTGAAAAGAATGTTCTCAAACCATACCACTAGATGTTCTTTTGTGGTGAGCCACATGTGACCTCAAATCATTAGATGAATACCTACTCCTTTTGGAATCCTGCAGTTCATATTCAGCTTGTGGACTGCAATTTTCATCATCAACGGAATACTTATCTATAGAATAATCTGAGCTGTTCACAGAACAATCTGAGCTTTTCTCCTCATACAAGTGGGTGCTTTCTGTCTTACAGAGTTTAACAGCATGGCATCTCTTAGCCTTTTTAAGAACCAGACTGAGAGGAACAATTTTGGGAGATTTCCGGTTATCGTTTGTAATCCCTGTAGCAATTAAACTAGAATCAATCCCACCACTTCCACTGCAAGCACCTTCACTGTTAGTGTTAGGTTCATTAACAATGCAATTCAGAGACACATATTTAGGCAGTTTGCGGACAAATGCTCGACTCCCTTCCTGGTGATGTTTTGTTCTATCCGGAGTGCTCATATCCTCTACTAGCCTTTTTATATCAGAGGAATTTAATCCACCGAGAAAATTGCCCTTGGCATCTGGTTGCTCATCACCTTCGAAAAACTTGTTCTGGCTGTGAAGCCGTTTCACAGGCTTATTCAGATGCATAATAGGATGTTTCCGCTTGGTTCTCAACACCCTGCAAGAAAATGAGTTAACCTCATTTTGTGGTTGATAACCCCCCTTTTGGGACGATTGGGAACTAGCCCTAGTACAATCATCTGATTCAGAACCTTTAACAGGGCACCTCAATGTTCTAGTCTTTTTTGGCAGTTCAAAACAATGCTCCTCTTTATCCTTTTCTTCCAGTCTCCTTCCCTCAGAAATCTGATTACGTTTGCGCTTCACTCTAGATGGGCCCAGCTCAGATTTCGCAAAACTATTTAGGGGTTCTTCACATCCTGTACTGGTAGGAACATAGCTGGATGCTGAACATTTCTCAATTCTTGATCCTTCATCACATAGATTTTTACGTTTGCTATGTTTAGCAGTAGACGAGGATACATTGTTAAATTCAGGTGACGTCTGAAACTTTGTCACTATAATGCTGGACGATCCAGATGAGAAACCAAAATTTGGCTGTCCTTTAGATACTACAGAATCTCTATAGGCATCCTTTTTCTCTGCTACAGCTTTGGATGAACTGTCATCAGCCACTGAAGCTTCGGATACATTCTCCAGTCTCTCCGGTATAGCAATAGAAGGCTGGTTCATTACTTTATCGGAGACATCTTTACAATGAGAAGTTTGAGACAAGTATCTTACATCTATTTTATTGCTCAAGCATTGGCATGTTAACTTCTCGTTCTCCCCCAGTGTGCAGCATCTGGTAGGCATTTGCAGCTGATGTTTGCCTTTAGGAGCAGCATGACCTATTTGGTCAATTCTGACATCACAGTGTTTTGTAAAGCCGCAACTAGACAAACATTTTGGGACTACAGAGTAGCAGCATCTTCCATTGCAACAAGAACCTCGTTCTTTTGTATTAAGAACATCATATAGAGAGTATTTTGTTAAGCTATTTGCTGCATGTCCCATAGAACTGTAATAAACAGAAGTACATGAATAGAAGCATGGAGATAGGTACAGAAGCACATTCATGAAGTATGAAATATGATGCAAATGTGGCTATGGTAAAAGAACTAAGTGCAGTAACATTAAAATAAAGATTTAAGTACTAAGAGAATTATACTGTTTCCCGATCCAAAATAAAAGTCCGTTAGGACATCGAGACGGTCTCCAATATTTCACATTGACTTGCAATGTAAATGGAAACATGCTGCTTTAATTTTTCGTGATGAATCTAATAACATCATTTATGTCAATTTGTATTATGTTTTAGATATGGATGGCTAAGTTAAAAAGGTTTGACTGACAAAAATCCTAAATGGACTTTGGGATCAGATCAAATACGGAGTACATAATGGTAAAACAATAGTTGCAAAAAAGAGAAGGAAAAAAAGGAAAGACAACCCAGATAGATCCCTATCGCAAAGCGTTGTGGCATCTTAGCCTGGCACAAATGCTACAGTAAATATATCCTTGCAATCAGAGAGGATATTATAATTTGAATTAAAGAATGGAAAAGGTGTGGCAGACCCCTGAACTATTAGAGCATCTCCAAGAGTTCCCATATCCAACATTTAAAGTCAGAATTAAGGTTTATACAACAAAAATTGCCCTCCAATAATCCCCCTATCCAACATCATATATTTAGTGGTATCCAAAATCAACCCCCCCGTTCTCTCTCTCTCTCTCCCCCCTCGAATTTGGGGTGATATGTGTTGTCTACCTTGTATGTTATTTGGGATAGGGGAACTGTTAGAGGAGAGAAGTATTTATGGGGGATTTTTTATTAGGATGCCCCTATATCAGAATATAGGGGAATTAAATTTAGGATGACTTGTGGAGATGCCCCTAGGGTGACTCTAAACCCCTAAACTATAAAACTTTCACAAATAATTAAAATTAAATTATGGTATGTAAGCTGCTAGAGTAAATAACTAGATGTTATCTAAAATGGGAAAAAAACAAATAACCAGAATAAGGCAGGAATTGATCACAACCATAATATTGCATCTTGGTAACAATCTTGGTGCTAAAACATTGATTAATGTATACAGTGAGGAAAACAAAGGTTCATAGTGTGATGGAAATAACCAGCAAGAATAGCAACAAGGATAACAGAAGGATCAAATAAACCAGTTTACCTACTGCAGTGCAGTCCATCAATGGGACATGAGCAACAGGAAGACTGCAAGACGTATTCCCGAGAACATAATGATGATCTTTGTGTAAAAGTGGAGCAAGCACAAAATTCATCTAGCCCTGAAACAAGAAAAGAAAAGGTGTTACAATGAATTAAGACATGGAAACATTTAAACAATTGTCCATCATAGAAACAACCATTGTAGATGAAGAAAGCAACCTTCAAGAGTAGGCTTATTGGCTAGAACTGGACCAACATCACTAGAAAAATGAGTTCTGCACAAGTGACCAGGTATAAAACCAAGCTTGGAAACATCTTCCTGAATTTTGCAACAGCATCCACAAATCGATTTTCCCAGTGTTGACTGATAATTTTGGCAAAAGCTAGGTAGAAGCTCCTGAGAAGAACAAGATTTCCCATTCTCGCAGCTGATTTTTGCAAAAGCTCTCAAACTTCTATGTGTGCAGTCATGAACTCGCTCAAAAGTACCATGGCCCCTGGCCTGCACAAAATGCATGTGTAAGACATAATCTTTTGCTGACCTCTCACTCTTTGTTTGCTGCACAGCAAATTTGGCAATAGGTCATTCTCTGCTGTCCTAGTTGCTGTAGCAGTAGGGCAATAGGCCACCACTGGTACATTAGTTGGTAGCTAATACATCAGCCATGTCTTGGTAGTGGGCTGAGGTAGGAATTGTACTGCTAGTACTAGGAGTAGTTGGGGTTGTACTCAGCCATGCTCATGTGTACCTTATAGTTGGTACATGAGTTTATATACTCTACCTCTATGCAATGAAAACAGGCAGTTCAGTTGCCACAAACCAAAAGAGCTGAGTTCTGGCCAACGCTGGTACTTGTGCTGTGTGTGCGCGCCTGTGCTCACCCCTTCTTCTACCTCTAGCCATAGTGTGTGTGTGCTGGTAAGCTTACTGCTTACATGTGCAGGGCAGTGAGGGACCAACAAGTGGCATCGGAGCCGTACAGGTTCGCCTGCATCGCCGGACTAATCGCCGGCGATGGCACCTAGCTCGGAGACGGGCGACAGCAGCGGAGCTGCGGGAGGCGGCAGTGTTGCTGGGGCTGCCCAGCCACGACAGGAGGTCGTCGTGCGCACAGTGCGGGAGATCAGCGGCACTACTTGGCCATAGCTGACTCGCACCAACTATGGCGAGTGGGCGGTGACCATGAAGGTCAAGCTCAGAGCTCAACGGCTCTGGAACGCCATCGACAAGGGCACCAACGTAGAAGAAGATGACATGTCAGCGCTGGAGGTATGGATGAAAACGGTACGGATATTTATTCGACCGTCCGTTCGACCGAACAAATATGAACACTTATCTGGATAGTTACTCGGATATCCGGTTTTTTTTTCGGATACGGATACTAAAACGGATATCTTAGGCGGATATCAAATACGGATGTAATATCATCGATATCCGGCGGATATCGGATAATCCGGATAAGTATCGGATATATCCGGATATTTAAAAACGGATATTATCCGGATATTTATTCAAAATTTAAAAATCACAAATTTGAACCATCCAAACTATCTCAAATGGAAAGTTGACCAAAACAACAATTGTAGATTTTGATGAGTTGAACAAACTTGGTATTCAAAACTTTTCAATTTGAAGTCATTTAGAGTTCATAATACTAGAGTCAAAGTGTTGTTTTTTCATTTGACCAAATTTGACTTGGTCAAACTTGCTCAAATGAGACACTAAATGACCTCAGATGAAAAAACTCTGAATACCAAGTTTGATCATCTCAACAAGATCTACAATTGTTACATAGCTCATTTTCCCATTTGAGAAAGTTTTATCAAACACTAGTCATAAATTCTTGAATCTCATATAGACTTTCTGAAACTATGTCACATACTTGTGAAATTTGAACTACATTTTGTTCAAACTTTTTCAAATGAAAAAATGACCTATATAAGAATTGTATATCTTGATTAGATGAACAAATTTGGTATTCAAAACTTTTCAATTTGAGACAATCTAGGGTTCCGAAAACTAGTTTGTAAACGTCGAAATTTAAAAATCATAAATTTGAACCGTCCAAACTATCTCAAATGGAAAGTTTACCAAAACAAAAATTGTAGATCTTGATGAGTTGAACAAACTTGGTATTCAAAACTTTTCAATTTGAAGTCATTTAGAGTTCATAATACTAGAGTCAAAGTGTTGTTTTTTCATTTGACCAAATTTGACTTGGTCAAACTTGCTCAAATGAGACACTAAATGACCTCGAGATGAAAAAACTCGAATACCAAGTTTGATCATCTCAAAGAAGATATACAATTGTTACATATCTTATTTTCCCATTTGAGAAAGTTTTATCAAACACTAGTCACAAATTCTTGAATCTCATATAGACTTTCTCGGTCACACACCGCAGAAATTTGAACTACATTTTGTTCAAACTTTCTCAAATAAAAAAATAGCCTATATAAGGATTGTAGATCTTGATGAGATAAACAAACTTGGTATTCAAAACTTTTCAATTTGAGACAATCTAGGGTTCAAAACTAGTTTGTAAGCATCGAAATTTAAAAATCACAAATTTGAACCGGCCCAAACTATCTCAAATGGAAAGTTGACCAAAACAAGAATTGTAGATCTTGATGAGTTGAACAAACTTGGTATTCAAAACTTTTCAATTTGAAGTCATTTAGAGTTCATAATACTAGAGTCAAAGTGTTGTTTTTCATTTGACCAAATTTGACTTGGTCAAACTTGCTCAAATGAGACACTAAATGACCTCGGATGAAAAAACTCTGAATACCAAGTTTGATCATCTCAAGAAGATATACAATTGTTACATAGCTCATTTTCCCATTTGAGAAAGTTTTATCAACACTAGTCACAAATTCTTAAATCTCATACGACTTTCTAAAACTATGTCACACACTTGTGAAATTTGAACTACATTTTGTTCAAACTTTCTCAAAATGAAAAAGGCATATATAAGGATTGTAGATCTTGAATCCATGACCATGACTCCATGAGACCCATGAAGCAATGTGCTTGGCTATTTCTACTCATGCCGCCAAGATTGGTGCTTATATGATGTTTGATGTATGATGTATCTCAGATCTTTATCTTATTTGTTGCTTTACTCTTTAGTCTTTCGACTTAATCTAGATGGATTATGGACTCAGAGTGGTGTAATGGTTTATGCACGCGATATGATATATATATATATATATGCCGCTTTTACTCAATATCCGAATAGATATTTGTATCCGACCTTCTCCGAATCCGATTCATACCGTATTCGATACTCATTATTCGTATCCGTGAATCGAAGTCAATCCGTATTCGTATATGTATCCGAAACGCTATCCGTGTCCGAATCCGAATCCGAATGTAAATATGAAAACAAATATAATATGAGTGATATCCGTTCAGATCCGATCCGCTTTCATCCCTAGCCGAGGCCATCATCGCTCTTTGCTCGCGAGTACCGGAGTCGCTAGGGGCGAAGAAGTCTGCCAAGGAGGCGTGGGAGACCATTGCAGTGATGCGCGTCGGCTCTAATCGCACAAAGAAGGCGACGGCCCAGCTGCTGAAGCAGGAGTACGCCAACCTCAAGTTCAAGGATGGTGAGTCGGTGGAAGACTTCTCCCTCCGCCTGCAGTCGCTCATCAGCAAGTTGGGGAGCCACGGTGTCACCATCGACAAAGAAGAGGCGGTCTCTAAGTAGCTCCACTCCGTGCCGGTGAAGTACATCCAGATCGCTCTCTCCATAGAGACGATGCTGGACCTGTCCACCCTCACTATTGAGGATGTGACAGGCCGTCTGCAAGCGGTGGACAAGCGCATAGAGCAAGCCACAGCAACGACGGACAGCGGCAAGCTGCTACTGACAGAGGAGTGGGCTGCCTAGATGAAGGAGAAGAAGTCCAGGGAAGCCTCCTCCAGCTGCGGTGGCGATGGCAAACGTCGCAGCAAGGCTTCTTCGGAGAAGAAGAAGAAGAAGGTCGACCCCAACGCCTGCCGGCGCTGCGGGAAGACATGCCATTAGGCAAAGAAGTGCCCAAATCGCGAAAGCAGGAGCAGCAGTGGTACCTGGACTCCGACGCTAGCAACCACATGACGGGCTCCAAGACAGCCTTCTCCGAGCTCGACAGCAACGTGACCGGCACGGTGAAGTTCGGTGACGGCTCAAGGGTGGCGATCCGAGGGCGCGGCACCATCATCTTCAGATGCCACAACGGCGAGCAATGCGCACTGACGGATGTATATTACATCCCGCAATTGCGTTCAAGCATCATCAGCATTGGCCAGCTGGATGAGCGCGGCAGCGAGGTGCTGATCAAGGACGGTGTCCTCAGGATCAGGGACCGGGAACAGCGGCTTCTTGCCAAGGTGAAGAGGTCCCGAACCGTCTGTACCTGCTCGACTTGACGATGGAGAAGCACATCTGCTTGGCTGCACAACGCACGGAGGAGTCGTGGCTGTGGCACACCCGCTATGGCCATCTCGACCAGACGCCTCGGCAAAGCCGGAAAAGATGGTCCGAGGGCGCTTAACATCGAAAGCACGCAGCGAAGCTATATAACAATACACCGCGCCGGAAGCAAAGAAGGTCATTGTTCCCAAAGATGGCGAAGTATCGCGCGGCAGAGGCCCTCGAGCCGGTCCATGGTGACCTCTCGCGGGCCGATCACGCCAAAACACGCATGGTCAAGCGCAAGTACTTCGTCTTGCTGGTGGATGACCGCAATAGGTTCATGTGGGCTGCACTTCACCAATAAGACCGAGTCGTGAAGCGGTCAAGAAGTTCAAGGCGCGCGCGGAGGCGGAGAGCGGCAAGAAGCTGCGTGTGCTGCGGACAGATCACGGCGGCGAATTCACCTCTGTAGAGTTTACAACGTACTACGCGGATCAAGGTGTGGTGCGCCACCACACCGCGCCGTACACACCACAACAGAATGGCGTGGTGGAGAGGCACAACCAGACAGTGGTCGGCATGGCGAGGTCGATGATGAAGGCTACGAAGATGCCGGCGGAGTTCTAGGGAGAGGCGGTGACAACGGCGGTGTTCATCCTCAACCGCGCGCCCACCAAGGCCCTGAAGGGCAAGACGCCGTTCGAGGCTTGGCATGGACGCAAACCAACCGAATGTGCCCTTCCTCAGGACATTTGGCTGTGTTGGCCATGTCAAGAACACAAAGCCCCACCTCGGCAAGCTGGAGGACAGAAGCACGCCCATGGTGTTGTTGGGCTATGAGGAGGGCAGCAAGGCCTATCGCCTTTATAATCCCAAGGGAGGCAGGGTGGTGGTCTCTAGGGATGTAGTGTTCGACAAGATAGCTGCTTGGGATTGGGAGGATCAAGGCGCCAGGGAAGCTGCTGGTGTCAGCAGCACATTTGTTGTCGAGCACTTGGCGATCCAAGGAGGAGATGATGACGTTGGAGAGCGGTGCTGTCATTGGAGAGCGATCTCCACCAAAGAATGGCGCATTCACCTCCACCACGGTCCCCTGCGACAAAGAAGACAGGGACACCCCCCATCGAGTTCGTGATCACCACCCACCCAAGATCGACGAGTTCGTGGATGCTTTCCATGACGGCGAGAGGTTCGGTTCGTGGTGGTGGACAACCTTGTCGGCGAAGGGGAGCTCTGGTCAGCGCTAGCCGGCTTCTGGATGACCCAGAACTACTCCTCGTCAGCGCAGAGGAGCCGCCGACGTTCACAGTGGCTGAACGCGACGCCAATTGGCGTCGGACGATGTTGGAGGAGATGAGGGCGATCGAGGACAATGGGACATGGGAGCTGGTGGATCCACCGGTGGGCTGCAGGCCGATCGGGTTGAAGTGGGTCTACAAGGTGAAGCGGGACGAGCGCGGTGCCATTGTCAAGTACAAGGCTCGGCTCGTCGCCCGTGGCTTCGCGTCAACAGAGGGGGCATCGACTTCGAGGAAGTCTTTGCTCCGGTGGCGTGAATGGAGTTCGTTAAACTTCTTTGTTGGCCATGGTAGCAGCGAAGGATTGGTGCGTCCACCACCTCGACGTCAAGTCTGTGTTCCTCAACGGCAAGCTCGTGGAGACGGTCTTCGTCAAGCAAGCTCAAAGGCTTCGCCAATCAGGGCGCCGAGCACAAGGTGCTCAAAATCGCACAAAGCGCGCTCTGGGCTGCGGCGAGCCCTCGGGCGTGGAACGCCAAGCTCGACGCCACCTTGGGTGAGCTTGGGTTCACTCGCTGCGCAACAGAGCACGTGCTGTACACACGGCGACGGGGAAGGAGGAGCTCGTCGTTGGCGTGTATGTGGACGACTTGATCGTCACTAGAGCGCGGGCGGAGAACATTGACGGCTTCAAGCGCGAGATGGCCACTCGTTTCAAAATGAGCGATCTCGGTGCGCTCTCCTACTACCTCGGCATTGAGGTGAGGCAGGGGAAGGAGCACATCTCCCTGGGCCAACGCGCCTATGCGGAGAAGTCACCGGGCGCAGCGGGCATGGCGAGTGTAAGCCGTCAGCAACTCCAATGGAGGAGCGGTGAAAAGCCGCCCAAGCACAAAGATGGCGGCGCGAAGGTGGACGCGACGCGCCACCGGAGTATCGTCGGTGAGGTCACGCTACCTCACGCATACTCGGCCGGACATCGCGTTCGCGGTCGGGTATGTTAGTCGGTTCATGGAGGAACCGCGTGAGGATCACTGGACGGCGGTGAAAAGGTTACTGCGCTACGTCAAGGGGACGCTCGATCAAGCGATCATCTTCCCCAAGAGTGGCGGCAAGGGTGGGTTGCGGCTCACGGTCTTCAGTGAGGCACCCCCCAAGGCAAAGGAGGGTGAATCGGAGCTCACTGTTTTCAACGACGCAGACATGGCGGGCGACATCGACGGGCGACGGAGCACCCTCTGGTGTGCTTGTCTTCCTTGGAGCAAATTTCATCGCCGCAATCGCCGAAGCGAAGATTGTGGTCTTTGTCGGCGTGTGAGGCGAGTACGCCGCAGCCGCCACGACGGCGCGCGTTGTGCCGCTCGTTCGCGATGAGTGCTGGGCGAAATGGACCGGCGAGGAAGCTCACCGCCCACTCGATGGTGGACAATCAGCCCGCCATCGCCCTCGCCAAGAATCCTGTCTTCCACGACCGGAGCAAGCACATCGACATCAAGTTCCACTTCCTCCGAGACTACGTCGATGGAGGACAGATCGTCATCGAGTTTGTCGAGACCGGCAGACAGCTCGCTGACATCCTCACCAAGTCACTCGGGCGCCTACGGTTCATGGAGCTGAGGAAGATGATTGGCATGGATGAGGTCAAGGCTTTGGGTTAGCAGCAGGATTAGGGGAAGAATTGTAAGACATAATCTGCTGCTGACCTCTCACTCCTTGTTTGCGGCACAACAGATTTGGCAATAGGTCATTCTCTGCTGTCCTAGTTGTTGTAGCAGTAGGGCAATAGGCTACCACTGGTACATTAGTTGGTAGCTAATACATTCGCCATGTCTTGGTAGTTGGCTGAGGTAGGAATTGTACTGCTAGTAGTAGTAGTAGTTGGGGCTGTACTCAGCCATGCTCATGTGTACCTTATAGTTGGTACATGAGTTGTATATACTCTACCTCTATGCAATGAAAACAGGCAGTTCAGTTGCCACAAACCAAAAGAGCAGAGCTCTGACCAACGCTGGTGCTTGTGCTGTGTGTGTGCCTGTGCTCACCCCTTCTTCTATCTCTAGCCATAGTGAGTGAGTGTGTGTGCTGGTAAGCTTACGGCTTATCTGTGCAGGGCAGTGAGGGACCAACAGCATGGATTATAGAAAAGTAATAAAGAACAATCGTTTTGATGGATGTGCTTGTTGTTGCTTCTGCTATGTGCAATAAGGTCAACTTACCATTTTATCATAGAAACAGGGAACCTCAATCTCACCATGTGCAACCTGATGGGATTTATAACCCACGTGAGTGCAGCTCATGCAATTTGCATGACATGAAACTCTTGCAGAATTTTTCGAGATTCCAGTGTTAGGTTGACTAGGCAGCAAATGTGACAGGGAATCACCATGAATCAAATGTTCCTGACTCTTAGCATGGGATGCATCTTGAGGATTATATCCAGAAGAAGCCGCTGAAAGAGAAATGCCCTCTGATCTCCTTTTCATATGAACAATGGCTGAGGTCAACTTTGAGTGATTATCATTAGCCGCCATAGTTTCAGTCTGTCTAGTGGCACTTTCTGGATGATCAGAACCACATGCAACATCCAGGGCCTTAGGAAGATAGTGCTCATTACTGTTGAGAATGTCATCGATGGGTTCAGGTGTATTATTCCTCTCAAGGTGTGAAAGAAATAATGAGATAAATGAATTCTTGGATGTATCGTCCGTAAGCTCATCACCTTCAGAATGCTTCGTGCCATTAACAACTTCAAGTGGTTGCTTCTTATTTCCAATACTAATGGATGATTCATTATGTTCAAGAGATAGACTTTTGTTGATCTTTGTTGCTTGCTTTGGACAAGGATCTGCACCACATGATCATGGTGTTACATATCATGTCATATGTGTTCCACAAGCAGAAAATGCTCTCAAGTCTCAAGCCTCAAAGGATGTGCACATATACTTATGGATCAAATCAGATGATTCTACTATGATGGTCCAAATCATACAAAAAAGTGCGTGACATATATCAATAAAAAATATTTAACAGTTTCTAATTGTGGCCTTTCAATTTTACACTTACAAAGTCTTGGCATGGCGAAGCAGAAACAAAACTGTAGATGCTTTATTGATAATTATCAGAGTCAGCTTCTAATGTTGTACCTTTGGATAACAATGCACAAAGAAAATAATGAAAGAAGCACAATATGAAAGGTAAGCTCACTTTGATTTATCGGTGGCCTATGTGTCTGAGGTTTCTGAAATTCAATCATCGCTGACTGCCCCAATGGGAAAAGAGTAGTCATAGATTGATGATAAGAAGATTGCCCAAGCTTTAATTCAGTGTTTGAAGCATTGCTCACGGTGTCCTGGAATGTTTTATGGGGGAAATTTGGTCTGCACGCCCTACTATCATGGTTCAGAACTCCTGTAGAACATGGCATAGGATTACAAAAGGACGCATCAAAGTTTTTCTCCAAACGGATTCCATAACTATGGGCCAAATGATTTCCATTGTAATGTCTTCCCATGCTTGCTTCAAAGTGTGGGCTTCCACTAGGAGTGGTAAGTGGGTTCAAGTCCAATGCATGAACTGGATGGTTTTTAGCGAGCCCTAAATTCATCGTAGTGAAACTCTGAAGCAAAGCAGAGTTCTTTGTAAAAGCTTCGCGCACATCAACATTCTTTCTGTAATATGTTTCATCCGACCCGTTTACTAGCTTCTCAACATTAGTGCGTCTTCCACCCTCAATGGACAGATCACCGGAATAAGCTGGTTTGTTCATAGGTCCAGTGATTTTTCCATATCTACCTAATAACCCCATTTTTCCTGTTCCACTGTTTCTTGATGCAAGACTTTTCAATATGTGTTCTTCTGGAGAACTTTTCATACATGCCCATTCCGGCCAATCCCACCTGGTGTTAGCAATAGATCCTCCCACCTAGATACATAAAAAAGGGGGGAAATGTAATGACAGCTCTGCATAAATGTTTGAACTCCAACAAAAAAAGCTTGTTCATAACGTGTACATGATCGGTCATGCTGGAACTGTGCATGTGAAGAAAACATATCTCCCTAAGCTTTGTTTTGTCCATCCAGAGACAAAAATGTCTCAAAGAAAAAGGTGTGCAGGAAGAGCACAACTAAATAAGAAGGGCAGAGTTGTATTCACTATTTTACATTGTGTAATGAAGTGTTGCAACTAATTCGTTGTTGTAGTAAGTCTTTTACATGTGTAATATTTTACAACTAATTCATGGACAAAAGGTATTCAGTTCTATTAATATGTAACTTGGACCAATCAAACTACAACAGCTGGGACCAGAGCTGGATGTAATACTCACCCCTATGCAGAATTTGAACCATTGTGCAATACTCATGCCATTCTCCACGCGGACAATTTCACCAGCATTTTCTGGAGTTCTTCCAGCATGCTGTAACAAGCATATGCAAGTACAAAACTTCAATTTTTCAGGCATAGAGTGGATAACTTTACCAGCAGAAAAAAAAAATGCCAGTGTGTTTAAATGTGGAACCAAAAAAAATAGTTAGGACAAATCCTTTAGCACCTCGCAGAATTTAGCTACAGACATTCGCAACCGATGACACAAGCAAATGACTCCAAAAAGCCCAGCTTCACCCACAAAGAACTCTCCACCTATTCAAGCGCCATGGGCATGTCAGAAGAATTCAACAATGTATGTCAAGTGAGGATAATTGATTTAGGAAACAGCATCAAGATATTGCTACTAAGTATCAACCAATAGTAATCTCAACATTTCTCACTTTTACCAAACAGATTGCTATTAAAATGCTGAAAGCAGGAACATTGTCCAATAGCTGGGTATAAATGTTTTAATTGCACACAACTAATCATGCATATTCAAATGGCTGTCTTTGCTTGAGTCTTGAGGACATTACAGGTACAGATTTTGGATGTGGCAAAAAATGCTCAATAATGTAACTTTGTAGCCATTTCAAAGACTACCTCCACAGTGATACTGTGGTGGTCAAGTCAGGTTGTAACAACATTGCAAGTTGAACCCACCAACATTCATACAGGTGACACGGATACGATCACCAGGCAGTGTAGGATGCTGATGAGTCATCGATTTGAATGGCAATTTCTGCAGTGCATGGACACTTGAGTCCTGAAACTGCACACCACCATTTGCTATTCCTGCAAGTTGAAATTGCCGCGAGTGGTCAGATCACAGGAAACCTACAATTGTGGACATGTAGTCATTGCCTCCAAATTCACTAGAACCTTACCTTCGTTAGCCGAACTTTCCCCGGTAAAAGTACCCATCCCATTAGCACTTTTGTTCAGGAAAAGCGCTCCAATAGAGGACTGCTCATTGCTACTGCTAGCTGACAATCCATGTCTCGGATACTTGGGCAGAGTGGCAGCACTGCTGAGCGGAGCAGCCCGAGTAAGATCAATGATATCAGCAGCAGCATTGCTCGCATTTGCCCGAGTAAGGTCCGGCGCAAGACCGAAAGTGGAATAGGTCCCCGGAACTTGAGCAAGCAACTCATTGCTCGGCCCGGCTCTAGTAGGCAGGCCGGATTGCGAGGTCGAATGATTTGCGACCAGGTGCTCTGGCGCTGCTGCCACTCGGCCGGCCGCCGCGGCCTCCTGCGCGGCGAAGGGGCGGAGCAGGTGGCGCAGAGTGACGCCGTCCATCTGCATTTACACGCACGGTATGTATAACGCCATGTTTAGCGGCAACTTATGAACACTCAGAAATGAAACGGCAAGACAACCCCGTATGGCAGCATTTCAACTCCAAAATCGCGAACACGTCATTCGCGAGCCACCGCGAAAGCACCTCCCGAACCGTTTAGGTGTCGAACACGAACAGAAAACCTCTCCTAAACCCCCCGCCGCATTAAACGATCGAACCCGAAAATCCCCACCGAGATGCGCACGTGAGTCGAACCTGGCTCGGCAGCGGTGGCACCGGCGCAGCGGGGGGCGCCGGCGGAGGCCACCGCGAGGGCCACGACGCGCCGTCCATGGGGCGGCGCCGCGGCAGCGAGGGGCGTGGTTCAGTTCAATCGGTGGTTGGTGACTGGCAAAGTGGCAACCGCAGCGAGGAGGCAGCGGATGGGAGGGGATGAGAATGCGAGGGGTGAAAAGTGATTTCGCAAGCGTGGGGTAGGCCGTGGGGACGTGGAGTAATGGGGTAAGCTGCGGTCGCGCAGCGGCGGGTACAGTGGGGGCATGGCGGTCCGGCTCGCTTTTGATTGTCTTGTCGCGTCAGGCGGTCAGGCCAGACGCCGAGGCGATGGGTTGGCCGTGGTTCTTGTCTCCATGGATCTCGTCCATTGGACGGCCTGATAGCAAGCCGGCGAATCGCCGCCGGTGACGCACTGATTGATTCCGGTGTCTTCTTTAAGTCTCATTGATGTCTTTAGATTCAAAAAAATTTTACTGCTGCTCCTGCTCTCTCTTTGCTCTTGCACCAGACCTCCGTCCGTACGCTGTAAAAAAAGTCGCATAGCACCGTACGTAAAAGAATGTAATTCTAGACTGTAAGAGTCGATCGTTCTGAACTCTGAATCTCCTATAACTAAAAAGAAAAAAATCCATTTTTTTGATCTAAATATTTATTCCCGCTGTCTTCTTCCATGTCTTTCCCACGCCCGCTGCTCTTGCTCTCTGGACTTGTTTAGTTTCAAAAAGTTTTTCAAAAAATGCTGTAGTAGTCATCACATCAAATCTTGCAATACGTGCGGAGCATTAAATATAGACGAAAAAAAACTAATTGCACAGCTTTGATTGGAATTACGAGATCCCCGCTTTGAGCCTAATTAGTCCATGATTGAACACTAATTGCCAAATAAAAACGAAAGCCTACAATGAGCCAAATACCTAAAATTCAGCCCTCTAAACATGTGGCCTACTCTTTGCTCTTGCACCGATGGCCGTCCAGAGTATCTAAAAAGTGGCCGCAGTCGCAAAGAATGTAATTCTCGGATTCTAAGAGTCAATCATTCTCGAACTCCACCCCTCCTCTTCTAACTAAAAAGAAAAAAAAAGATATTTTTGGTGCGACATTTATTTTGGTTCGTCTGGTGCGTCGCCCACGCCCTGCGATCTCCGCCTCGGCCCATGCGCCTCCTCTCTCTAATCCCCATGCACTGGCGTGTCCCATCCACAAGGTCCACGGCCGATCCCACCATCACCAGGCTGCAGCGTCTACTCCCCATCCCCATCCCGCGCCACCACGCCGTCTCGCGACCGCGCGCGCGCCTTCCTCGCCCACGCTGCGTCCGACCCTCACTCAGATGGCCTACTCGCTCGTCGTGATGGCCGGATCACAGGTGGTCGAGTCGCAGATGTTCCTTCCTTCTTCTCCCCCCCATCTCCACCCCCTCTCTCTCTTCCAAGGCTAGTACGTCGAGCTCTAGGCACCCCAGGGATCCTATGAGCACCCCAACATCCCTCCTCCCTCAGCTCCCTGCAAGCGGTCCCATCCTAAAGATCCCTACAACAGCACCATCGCTCCACCAAACGCGCGGACCCGAGATCTCCGGCGCGGGGCAAGCCCCGATCCCGTGACCCCAATGGCCGTTCGACACGAGATCCCACGATTAGATTGTATGGAAAAATTCCTTTTCATCTAAGTGGAAGGATCCCCATATTTTTTACTAGGAATTCGCTCCTCGAAAAGTTTTTCTTTGCGGAAAAGCCAAAATAAAAAGATCCCCGACAATGGAAGAATTCTTCTTATTCCATAAGAAATCTCCGGGAGCGCGAGCTCCCCAAGCAATGCACGAGATCCCCGAGCGCGAGAGCTCCTTGGCGGTATGGTTGAAGTAAGCACCCTTTCTCCTCCCTTCCTGCTGTGCCAAGCCGAGAACCAGATGAACCCTAGCTTAATCTATTTGGCAATTTGTATTTCGATCTGATCTAATCACAAGACTATGTACGCATTAATTCTACTACTAACTCTTATATTTGTTTTTTTGTGAAAATTATGGGTGCTTTTCTGGGTCCACCTCTGATGAGCACTAGGATTTCGTGTTGTTTGTCATCTTCTTAGTAGTAACAGGCTGTAGAAAATATGCTAATTTACTTGTCTACAATATGACGGTATAAATGTTTCAATTTTGTCTCATATTTCTTAAAAAGAGTTTCTTAGTTTAGTTCTTGGCTAATTATGGAGTCATTTTATTAGCTGCCATTTTGACTTTGAAAAGGCCTTGTATTTAGTCATGAGATTGATGTGAATGTCCCATGTTTGATTGTCAAAGGATGCTGGGATGGATTGGATCATTCACCTTGATACTGATGAGTTGATTCACCCAACTGGTGCCCGAGAGTACTCCCTGAGGCCATTGCTTTTAGATGTTCCTGACAATGTTGACATGGTTATCTTCCCCAATTATGTGAGTCACACAAGTAACATGTTTGTTGAATATGGTAACGTGCTTCACATCTTATTATTGTATATATTTCTTTTTCCTAGGAGAGCAGCATTGAGCGTGATGACATTAAGGATCCTTTCACTGAGGTATAGAAGCTACTGTTATTTTTAACATGTATGCAAAAGAAAGGAAAAATTGGCTCTATATGCTAATGATGATCCATTGGCTTACTTGAGAAGCAAAGTGTGACCTGTAGATAACCAGATATCGACTCACTGTCTAGAAAAACCTATAGTTTAGCAAACACCGCACATAACTACTCATTAATGCATTGAAGGAAATAATAGGAATGGTCTAATTATCGTTGACTGTGTTTGATAGCTTGCACCATTTATACAGTCATATTGTTTTGTGCATGTAGGTTTCCATGTTTAAGAAAAATTATGATCATCTTCCAAAGGATACATACTTTGGTTTATACAAAGAAGCAACATGTGGTAATCCAAACTACTTCCTTACTTATGGTAATGGGAAATCGGCTGCAAGGGTTCAAGAGCATTTGCGTCCAAATGGTGCTCATAGATGGCATAATTACATGAAATCCCCAAAGTAAGATATCTCAATATGTGGAGTTTTTTTTGCTAAAACAAATGGTCAATCAACAAACTACAATTTCTTTCTACTCGATGGTTTAGTTATATATTTCTTTTGTAGTGAAATCAAATTGGAGGAGGCTGCTATTCTGCATTACACCTACACAAAGTTCTCGGATCTAACCTCAAGGAGGGATAGGTGTGGTTGCAAGCCAACTAAAGAAGATGTGAAGCAATGTTTTATCTTGGAATTTGATCGTTTGGTGAGCTATCTTTTCTTCCCTTTGCTGTATCTGCATAGCATCTATTGTTGTCCTATGGGTACAGGCCACCTTGTCAACATTATAACTGTTTCCTGGCTGAAACGATGAAATAATACATTTATTTCATTTAAGTGATATGATATAAAGAATGAGATGGGGAGAAAAATGGCTAGATGATTTATTATACTATGGAAATACTTGTGGAAACTGTCATGGGTGGAAATAATCTCAGTTTACACAATATATGCATGTAATATCTTTTTTTAACTGAAAGTGGATGAGTGGATGTAGTTATGTGCAATCGATCTGGGGGTGATGGGGCATTGCACAAGCACAATATATTGTACCTTGTTCGTGTGCCTTATACTAATCACATAAATATTTCCCATGGTCCATTCTCCATTGTACAATGTATAGCCAACCATGCCAGAGAACCATATAAGTGTCTTTTACCAAAAAAAAAGAAAGGAAATCGATATGACTCTTATTAGGTATCATTGTGCATAGGTAGCTAATGGATAACTAACTTGGGAGAGCTAATGAATCCTCCCTTGTACTCTGTCATGGCGGGCCTTTATAATTGCATCAACAAATGATCGAGGAGGAGATGAAGAACCTGGTAACACCCTTAGCCTTCTTTGTACCAAGCACCAACCATTCCTCCCTATCCTGCTTGAATTAAGAGAGATCACATTGGTCTGACTACCATTGTTTAGGTACCGGGAACATGTTGTATGGACTAATAAAGACACCAATTTGAAACTTTTGAGGAAGGGTGTCTTAACACGTATATATGTGCCCATGGTTAGTCCAGATCTCAATCTTGTAGGCTTTCAACTTGTGGAAGTTGTTTCTTATTGCTGCTACATTTTATGCCCAATCTTTGCAGGCTATCATCCGTGGCCTCAAGGAATCCGGTGTCTTTACCAATACAATAACATCAACGTAAGCATAATCGAAAAAAAAAAGTCATCAAACATGGGTCTTGAAAACAAGGCCATCCAACTAAACGAATAATTTGGTCACCCACACTAGAAGGTGGCCACGAAAAGTTGCGAACAACCGTAAAAAAGATCCTAGAAATGGTTGGCGCCAGGAAGAAGCAATGTCGCCAATGTCGCCTCGGTTTTCTCGAGCTCTTTAAAAGCGCCATTGCTTTGTCATGACTTTACTGGAGGCATTATTTAGTATTGACTCGGGTTTAACCATGCGTGATGCATGCAGCCTTGAGCATACGGATAACATAGGCTTGTTTGGTCGTTGTTGCTGTATTATTATCATGTATTTGAATTGTTTTTATTAGAGATCTTTTTATTAGCGAGAGAAATAGCTGAATTGTTTGTGATTTTTTTTAAAAAAAAGAACTATACTGTTTTTTTGTGTGTGAAAATGAAGCGAGAAAAAAGGTAGGCAAGGCGAGAGCGAGTGGGCGACCAATGGGAACTCTAGAATCTGCCATGCTCTGGCCCCTGCTCCCCCCACCAACTTCACCACCACGCAAAACCCCACCTCTTCCCCCGCCACCGCCACTTCATGGCCGCCAACTCACTCACCACTCCTCCCGCCCCCCACCTTCCCTCCCCCCATTGCCATCCATGCAACCTCCTGATGATGCCTCACCTAGCCCCCTCTCCCTCTACCCCCGTCTGTGGCTGCGTTCCTTACTAAAAGTGCATCTAGCCCTTTAGTCGGTTTTGGATGATTGAATGACAACGTGATTAAAGGTCTAACCCATTTGCTAAGTGTGGACAGGTTATAGGTTATCTCATGAGTACTTAATGAAAGCCAAAATGATGTGTTGTTGTATAAACAATCTAGTTCAAGCACAAGACAACAATGCAAATGTTATTCATGCAAAGGCTCATTTATTGTGGGATTTTCATTTGCTATGTGAAAGCAAGCTCGTGAGAATTAATTAATGAGACATGAGAAATTGCATATGGAATGGTCTCATACTTGAAGCTTGCTAAATTGAAATGAAAAAGATAACAATACAAATGAATGGATGATTCAACACAAGAAGTGACTTGATGGCTTGAGATGGTGAAGATAGCAAGGAAAGGCTTGAGGTACTAAGCAAGGGTGAAGGCAACTTGGCTTAGCGTGAAGAACCTAGCTAGGGTGAAGAAGAAAGTACTTGCATTTAGTTGAGGTACTAATCAAGCTATGATGGCCATGTTCATGTGGAGGATCAAATCACTATTGGATTGTTTGATGGAAGTGACTTGATACATTTGGGATTATTCAAATTTGATGAATGGAATCAAGTCACGTGCTCAAGATGGCTATGCTCAAGTGAAAAGATCAATATCAACATGTTAGCACCCTTACTTGATGAAGATTGAAAGAGACGGCATCAATTCAAAAGAGATCAACTCAAGTGGTATAAATCCATTTTTCCTTTGATCTTGAGTTTAATAGGTATGCCGTACTATTAAGAGGGATGCATCATGTTGATAGATAATGTTTCATAAGTGCTCAAGCCAACCCATGTGAGATTTGAGTGTTTGAGAGACAAAAAGGCTAATCGACTTGTTGTTTTGAGCCGCCTTACTGGACGTGTCCCATGCATACCCTGACGACCCAGGCCCAAGAATCGTAAAATGTTGTTCTTGGGTTGGTTCGTTGGGAGTTCTGATGTAGGTCGGGAGTTTCGACGGTCGGGAGTTCCGGCAAGTGTCGGGAGTTCCAACGTCTCACACTTTAACTGTCATAGAGGGTTCACTGTCCTGGTCATACCGGACGTATCCGATATTCATACCGGACATGTCCGGTATGGACGACCAGAGGCCAACGGCTAGTTTTCCAAAGCCTTGAGGGTTGGGAGTTCCGACGGTCGAAAGTTCCAGAATGTGTCGGGAGTTCCGACACCTCATATTCTTTAACTCAGTTACATGGTTTTCAAATTTGCTGAGGATCGGGAGTTCCGACGTGAGTCGAGAGTTCCGGCGGTCGGGAGTTCCGGCATTCATCGGGAGTTCACGCGCCTCACAACTTTATCAGAACTTAGACCGTTGAAGGAGTAAGTCATTGCACGTATCCCAGAGACATAAAACGACTATTTTTCAAGGGGGCTATAATACCCCCAAGCCTCCACCTTTGGAGGTCAAGGTGAGATAGACACACGATTTGAGCCTTGCCAACTCTCCTAAACCCTCTCTTAGTGAGTGTGTGATCCAAATTGCAAAATCAATTTGTGGGTTAAGAGAGAATTTGAAAAAGAGACCAAGCCACCACTTGAGCACTTGTGCATATTGTCAATCTCGTGATTCGATTGTTACTCTTGGACTCTTGGTCCTAGATGGTTAGGCATCGCGGGAGAGCACCCGAGAGATTGTGGTGTGCCTCGAAAAGTTTATAGATCTCGATTCCGCCGCCTCGGAATCAAATTAGTGGAAGGAGGAAAAGGAGTTGGAAAATACTGCTAGAGTGACCTTCGTGGTACCCTCTAGGGCTGACCTTCGATCGCCTAACCTCAATCGGAGAGTAGGACTCAAACGAGTCCGAATGATGATAAAACAAATATCGTGTCTCAATTCGCATTTCATTTGATATTTGTGTTGCTCTATATTCATGTTCTCTGTGTATATTGTCATCTCCATTAGGTGCAGTTTGGTTTGAAGATAGAAATCGAAGAGGAGCAAGTTCAGGGCCGATGGAATCGTGATATGCAACACGTCCCATTCATACTCTAGGACACGTCCGTTTTCCTACACATGCAAAATATTTATTCTCTGTTCTAACTTGGTGTTGCAGGGTTGTAGCTTCTAGATATATTCTTTATACCTTATTTACTCTGTGGCTAACTTGTGAGGGGTGGTAGTACTCTTAATTTAGAGTTTCCATTTTGGAAACTCCCCTTTCTAATTGTTTCCGCATTTAAAGGTGTTAATTTTCAGAAACGCCTATTCACCCCCCTCTAGGCGATATCCTAGGTCCTTTCACTTACCCCAGGAGGTACCCGGGCGGCGAATGGGGCACAATTCGTCGAGCACCTGGCGCCCGGGCGTGGGGTTCCGGTGACCGTGACCCGCGGCGAGCGTGATGTGGATGACCTCGCGGGCGTCCCGTTGGAGCTCCTCCCACTGAAGAAAAGGGTCGTGCGGTACCACCCGTACGCGGTGATCCAGGAGATGGCCAGCCACTTCCGCAACATCCACGAAGGAGGGTTTCTTCTCGACGCGTCGGAGCCGCCCATGCCCACGGGGACGGGTGAAAGGTCCTTATGTGGTTTTGGTAATTGAGTGACAACCTAGGTGGACTAATTGTGTTTATGTGAGATACACAGGTGATTAGTCCACAGGTACATATGTGTGAGCAACATATGCCATGAAGGTGAAAATGGCTTGGAGATGTTGCAAAGCTCACACATGTGATGATGAAGGAGCTTATTGCACATGAGACATGACATTGAGTCATGTGATCAAGGTGGAGAAGATCAAGACAAGACTTGGCTTGATGGACCGGTTGCAAGCATGAAGGGCAAGTCGGAGACTTTAGAGCGATGGACCGCGTGGCGGTGAAGCTTGAGCAAGACTTAGCACCGATGGACGAAGGCAACAGTGAAAAGCAAGTGAAGTCAAGATTGATGAACCAATATGATCACATGATGATATGAAGTGGATCATATCATTGTTGATCATGTTGGTGCATGTGTTGCATCGATATTGGAGGAGATGGAATGGAATGCGCAAGGCAAAGGCATAACCTAGGGCATTTCATTTCACTGGTCATAGGTGTGTAGAGAAGTTGATGACCGGATTTAGGATAGATGGCCGTACTATCAAGAGGGGCAAACTTGTTTGCATATCGGTCATCTAGTGCCACTCGAGTGATCTAACTTTGCATCATCGCTAGGATTGAGTGGCGTGGCAAGTTGAGTGGCTAATCCTTTGGAAAATGATTATGAAAATGCTAACACACATACACATGGTGGTGTACACTTGGTGGTGTTCGCACATTTATAAAGGAGATGAAGTTGGAGTTGATGTGAATCAACTCGGCGATGAAACGGAGGCGAGAAGGGTTAGAAACTCCACCGGCAGAGTGTCACCGGCGCCCTATACAAAAAAGATAGGGTCTCACAGAGTGGACCGGACGCTGGTCACGTGGTGACCGGACGCTTGGGTCCTGCGTCCAGTCAGTGGCGGCTGAGAGCGTGCTAGCATCGGTCTTCGACCGGACGCTGGTGATGAAAGTGACCGAACGCTGGTAGGGTGCGTCCAGTTAGGCTGACGTATGGTGACGTAGGCAACGCAGAAAAGGTGGAGAAGGACCGGACGCTGATGTTGCGTTCGATCGTGATCGATCGGACGCGTCCAGTCGTGACTGGAACCTTACTGGAAATGAGCGAACGCTGGGGTCCTGCGTCCGGTCACTTTGAGCAGCTGCGTCTGGTCATCTCTTGACCGTTGAGATCAAGCGACTGTGGTTGAATGGAGGTGACATGTGGCAAGCATCCGTTGACTGGACGCTGAGGTCCTGCGTTAGGTCGTTTCTACCGGCGTGTCCGGTCGTCCTGAGTTTTGCCCAGTGAAGGGGTAACGGCTAGTTTAGCCCATGGGGCTATAAATAGAAGGGTGTCTCGGCCATGGCTTGTGTTGAGCACCTTGGGGGACTTTGTGTCCATGCTTGAGAGTGCTTGGGAGCCCTCCATCTCACATATGCTTGATAGTGATTATCCGATTGTGTGAAAGAAAGCGATTCTAGTGCAATTACATCGTGAGGTTGCATCGAGTGGCACTAGAAGATCAAGTTGCAAGCCAGGTGGTGCTTGTTACTCTTGGAGGTTGCCACCTCCTAAACATCTTGGTGGTGGTCTCCGTCAAAGCCCGCAAGAAGCTTGTGCGGTGCTCCAGAGAAAAGCTTTGTGAGGGGCATTGTGCTCGCCCCGCGGGAGCCACGAAGAGCAACTCTAGTTGAACGTGTCATTGAGCTACCCTCACTTTT